ATTGAGTTTGTGCAGTTGTCTCTGTCGCTTCCTTTGCCCTTGCTGAAGTGATGTAGGGTATGGTCCTCCTTTATGTTATAGCTTGTCCATGGGCTCCCAGTCTTTGGAGAGAGGAGGTGACAGGGAGGTGCAAGGTGGCTGCCCTGGGTGGCTGGAGATGCAACAGTGGAGACCTGGTTCCAGAAGGACAGGTGATGTGGAGAGGCCCACTTGTGCTCTTCCCTGACTGCAATCCTATCTCTCTTTCCTCTCAGACCCCTCTGGTCACCTTGGAGTCCTTCCCCTTACCTGTGCTCCTGGTTAGCTCCTTATCACTGGGAAAATGTCCTCTGAGAGATAGTGACTCACAGTAGACCATCATAATTCCAAGCATCTGTAGCCAAATAACTGCTACTTATTTGTCCAAAGACACACATCAGGAAAATAAAAGAGATTAAATACCTAATACGCTGCTCATTTAAGTCTTCATTAAAGTATATAGTTTTTCTCATGAAATGTGGACATATCTGACAGTCTCAAACCGACCCCACAAGCTCATGATCTCACAGGCTTGGCTGAGAGAGCAGCTCCTTGGCAACTTAATTAAAAACCAAACCCTTCTTCTTTGGAGGAATCTTGTGATCTTAATCTGCCTTAGGAAAATGAGTTGTTTAATTATAGCCGGTAGCTGAAAATAGTATCTTTCTAACCAATGGTTAGAATGGGTTGCTGTTCCCTGCCTCAGAATGTCTTATTTAGAGATGTCTTATGCCTGTCCATTTTTTTCCACTTCTAAGCAGGTCTTAGAGCCAGCTATGTGGTAGGATGACACATGAAGCAGGTAAACCACACATATAGGTCTCCTCCGTTTTCACAGATATACAGAATCAGAAGACCGGATTCTTTTTCTTTGGATTTAAGAAAATGGTTTCTGTTCAAAGCAAATGTGAGGGCAAGAAGTTTGCTCTGAAACACGAGGACAGATGTACCAATCCTTGCACAGCTGTGCAAATGGAGAAATGGTAGAAATACTTCTCCTCCATCCTTGCATGAAAACTTGGTAGAATCCCTGTGGCAGCACTTGTAGGCTGTCAGACCTTGTTCTGGCCACACTTTTGGTTATGCCAAAATCCTTGTGGGAGCTGTGGTGGCTGAGGTGGGACTGACATCAAACACTCCTTTGAAAGCTGATAGTGGATTCTGTGAAGGCTTTTTCAGCATATTTCAGAGTTTTATCAGATTGTCTCATGAATGGGATGTCTCCAAAATGCGTGTAAGAACATCAGCTGCATCCCAAGTCATCTAGGAACACATGTACCTTGAGTCACTTGAATAAAACATCTCTTTGCCAAGGAATATAGAAAAGTGGTTTTCCCATATTGTGAGACAATATTATTTTCTGGCTGCGGTGAGTTCCAGGGATAGCTTCTGCAGCTTCGAAGAACATGGGAGAAGAGATGAACCAGCCCAACTTTGCTCTCTGTACTTGATTCCCACTGGGCAATGCTTTCCACAGCTGCCAGCACTTGGTGTGCAATTTCTAACAGCAATCTGCTGTACGGATCATGCATATTGTGCAATCTGCCTGGCTATCAGCATAGACAGTGCCATTTACTCTGAGCCTGCAAGGGTTTTGTCTTACCTCCTAGTAGTTGTTAGCACCCTTAGGCTCGTGTGCAGTGAGCTCTTGTAGTACCTCAGGAGCAAATTGTTTTGGTGGTAACTTCTTGTTGGACATTTCTCTGTGTTGTAGAAGGTGAATGTCTGTAAGTTATTTGTTTTAACCACTCCCATCAGTCTGCTTTTCATTGATTAAACTGGACTGTTTGATTTTGATTTGGCATAGGAATACTAACGGAAGACTTCACTTAATGGATTGAGATCTTTGTCCTCAGTTTTCACAGCAAAGCAATGTTATTAGGACAGTAAATTAAATACAGACTTTGAAGTCTTAGCTTTGCTTATTACATTTCTCTCTATAATAGCTCCATTGAAGATAGTGGAAACATTCCTATTAAATCAGAGAGACTTGGGTTACGACAGGATTTGTGGACATCATCACAGAAGTCAAGAAGAGCAATGTGCACTTGCAGCCCGGAAAGCCAATTGTATCCTGTGCTGCATCAAAAGCAGCGTGGGCAGCAGGGCAAGGGAGGGGATTCGGCTCCTCTACTCTGCTCTTGTGAGACCCCACCTGGAACACATGAGCACCTGGAGTGCTGCATCTAACTCATGGGTCCTCAACATAATGAGGATGTGGACCTGTTGAAATGAATCCAAAGGAGGCCATGAAGATGATCCAAGGACTGGAGCACCTCTGCTCTGGGGACAGACTGAGAGAATTGGGGTTGTTCAGTCTAGAGAAGAGAAGGCTCTGGAGGCACCTGGAAGACCTAAAAGAAAGATGGAGAGGGACTTTTTACAAGGGCTTGTAGTGATAGGATAAGGGGGAATGTCTTTAAACTGACAGATTTAGATTAAATATTAGGAACAAATTCTTTACTGTGAGGGTGGTGAGGCACTGGAACAGGTTGTCCATAGAAGTTGTGGATGTCCCATCCCTGGAATTGTTCAAGGCCAAGTTGTACAGAGCTTTGAGCATCCTGATCTAGTGAAAAGTAGCCCTGCCCATGTCAGAAGGCTTGGAACTAGATGATCTTTAAGGTCCAACCCAAACCATTCTGTGATTCTATGATCACAGAAGTCATAGCATTTCACGATGCAAAATAAGGATGAGAGCAGAATCCAATCCTTGCAGGGTAATTCTTCTACTTAATAAAAGTAGCATGAATACCGGTAGGAATTTTTTCACTTTCCCTCTTCTCCTTTACAAAATGTTTTTCATTTGTGGTTGTGTGTGAAAGCACTCCTGGAAATCAGAGGGTTGAGAGAACATTCAGATACAAGATCTTTACAGACCTTGGCTCCCAGGCTACCACTTTCATTCCTGCCAAATAGCCCCTCATTCACACCCTAGGGAAATGCTTTTTGAATATTCAGACTTTTTGCTCAGCACAAATGTAGCTTTCCTAAGGACAAACAGTCTGTAAATTGAGCCTGGTTGGATCTGAAGCAAAGATCATATGGTCAATCTAAACGCTCCCAACAAAACCACATCCGTCATTAAGTGGAACAAATGTAATGGAGTTGAGTCGAGCCCCTTTTAAACTCTTGTTAAAATCAGCTGGCTCTAATGCCTCCTGCATGGACAAAATCTGAAACCTCATTTAGTATCTGATCAAATTAAGAATACTTCTTTTTGGGGCTGTCCAATTCAGCATAAAGTGAAGGAGAAGTGAGCTACTCAAAATATTTCCACTGGTCTGTCTGGTAATAGTAATGGCAAAGCTGACTCATGAAGTTAAAGACAAGAAACTCAAATCACAAATGTAATTGCCCTTTATTGCATAGTCTGAATAAGAGCCTTTTCCTGCTGTTTAGTCCTAATGTCTACACTCACTTTTTAAATACAGATAATTGCATGAGGCAGATTCTCCCCCACCTCCTGACTGGTAGTCTAGACTTAATTCATCAGGAGTACAAAGATGAATGAGATGATGCCTTCCAGTTGTTGCTGCTTAGAGAAATGTCTGCTATAGTTAAAATGAAGATGTCTGGGGGGAACTGTTCTGAGATAGCATAAATGCAGTTGTGACACTGATTAGGTATTTTGTTCAGAGTTTAACTATAACCATTTATTATACAAAAATATTCTAAAAACTGGAGCTAACAGGAAAGTGTATCTGCCCTGAAGGTTTTTAACTATCCTGAGGGTTCATGGAAGGATGGATCCCTGTAGCAAGAATGTCATGGTTATAATACTTATTTTAGCAATGATATCATAGCAGAACAACAGACCTTTCAATCTGCCACAGCCTCAAATTCATTTTCCTTATCTTGGCTTCTATGCCACAGGCATCACCATGGTGCTTTGGTACCTATGCAGAATAGTTAACCAACAACTACCATAAATTCAGTGAAAGAGTAAACCATGAAAAAAAAAAATCAACAGTATGCCTCCCCTAAATTTTCTATATTTTAAAATTTCCTTGAGAATGCACAAAAAACTATTTAAAATTTACTCTTCATTTTTTCCCCACCCCTGGGGAATGCTGCCATATGAGATTTTATTCCTTGATTGAATAGGAACAACTCCTTAGCTAATTCTGACCATTTGTGAGGAGTTATGTGTCCCTATGTTCACTGGCTTCTCACAATACAGAAAGATGACTCCAAACCCATTATTTTACAGTAAACTCTCACTTCAGAGTAAAGGCTAGGATAACAGCCAGAGACTGGATGAGACTCACACTGAAAACACGAACATGATGGTTTTATGGTCTATATTTTGGATTTTTTGCAACTTTCAAGAAACAGTAAATGATCCCTTACCAGAGTAGTTCTTAGTACTTTTGTACCATAAACCCAACTCGATGCTAAGATTTCACAGATGCACACTAGATAGTATCTGAATTACTATTCAGTGAAATAGGGACAGACCCTTAAACTTGATTATTATGGGTTTGCACAGAAAAACATGGCATGATTTAATCCCAGATAAACTAGAACTCTCCCAAAGGATTCCTGGGCATGGTCTGAAAAGTAGCATGAGCCAGAGACTTCTCTCAGTAGACAACTGGGGTGTGGTCACACACATTTTTTTTAGCACTAAGGATGCCAACCAACTGTGTTTGTTGGCTTTAGGGGTAGAAGAGGGGCTCTATCATTGTTCAATTCATCGATATAGATGATGACAAAGAAAACAGACCTCAGTTTGCAAGGGACTTCACAACGGCTTTGTTAGGAAGGCACTTTAAGAGAAGACAGCCATGAAGCAGCGCTCAGTAGTGTATCACAGTTGGCAGACTGTCCTGGTTAAAAGCATCTGAATGATTTTGGCCTGTCATCTGAGGCATGTTGCTTGGGTGATCTGACTCTACTGTTTGAGCCCAAGGCTTGCAACCTATGTTAGATACCAAGTAACTGTTTCCACTAACAGAACTCAGTATCTTCATCTGCAGAAAGCCATGATCAGAGTGGTCCCTTATTTCAGGTGTCCCCATGAAATGAAGAGGCACTGGGAAATATAGTCTCTGTGACCGCAGGGACCAGGGTTTCACAGTGGTGGGGCTGGACAGTGCTGCACAGCACTGGCTCAACCCATTTCCCCTGGGATAAACAGGACAGCAGAAAGCCTTCTTCCTTTTCCCAGTTCCTTCCGTAAGCCACTCAAAACAAAAACAGTTCCCGTGATCCCTCTGAAGTCAATCTCTTATCATCCTAGCAGCTCGTAGCTGCCCTTTTTTGCAGGGTTTCAGCCTCCAGTTCCTCTGAACATCTCTGAAAGATATTAAGAAAATGTTAAATACTTCTCTGCTTGCCTTCAAGTTACTCTTAGCTGGATTTTTGTGAACTCCATGGGGACATGGCTGGCAATGCTCACGCTTGTCTCTGGGCTGATGAGATTGCAGCCAACAATGCTGGAGCTGGGTGGGCAGGCTTATACTTATGTTTTTATACTGTCAGTGTAACAGCCAGTGCTGGCTGGGGTTGATTGATTTTAAGAGCAGCAAATTACCGTGCATTTTTAACAACGCTGCTTCTCTTTCTGAGGTGGTAATAAATTGGCTTTTGAAATGGGTAGATTAGTTAGCTTTCTGATACTGCTGAGATTCAGAAACCTGTGGTACTATAAATATACAGAGGGAAATTGCATCTTACCTACCTGTGCTGCTTGTGTCCTTAAACTGATGGTTAGGTAGGAGCAGATGAAGATTTATAATAAGTATGAGTGAACTTCATATTTTCAAACACAATATTGAGAAAGAATAATAATAATTATTAGAGTCCCCGATCTCATTAATTAATGTGTCTGGTAAATTCTGTGGAATTAAAGAGAAAGAACCCAAAATCCTAGAGCTTTTTCCCCCTACAATTCTATATTTCCGCCTGGAAAAAAATAATTGCAGAAATGAGTAAAATGACTTATAAATGGGAGCTTGAGTTTGGAAACATAGTACCCAAGGAGTCTGGATGTGGGGAAATTTAGAGGTAAAAACCCCTGCATACTCATACAGTTTCATTAATGTTAACTGCCTTTCCTTGGTTTTCCTGCATTCTGACACTGCGGCCACCCTAGATACCTGCTGCCCTTGGTTTCTCTGCCTGCACACAGCTCAACTTTCCCCATACCATACAAGGTCCAAGGAGAGGAGACAGGGGTACTTGAAGCTGTTTGCTCATTCCTTGTTCTTCCTACCTGGCTCAGAGGAGAACCTGGTCCTTAGGCCCAAGAGCAGAATGTGGTTTCCACTAGCAGATCTGTGACACTGGCACTGGGATAAGTGATGACTCATGGGGGCTGAGGGGAAAGAGGAAGGTGACAGGGTAATAAGACAAAGTAATTATGTGCTGCTTTGTTGTCACAGTTCATTTGTTTTATGTTCTCCTTCCCCAGTGAGGAAAGCAAAGGTTCTTTTCTCCAACTCACTGAGCCCTGTGTTAAAAATACTTGGTTTATCCTAACCATGTGTAGTGGGTTGACCTTGGCCAGATGCCCAGTACCCACTAAAGCTGCTCTCTCACTCTCCCTCTGCAACTGGACAGAGGAGAGAAAAAAAACAGCAAAGGGTTCATGAGTGGAGATAATAGCTGGGAGAGGTCGCTTACTGATCACCATCACAGGCAAAACAAACTCCAAGTGGGGATATTAACTGAATTTATTACTAACAGGGTCAGAGCAAAAGAGGGAGAAGTAAAATAATCTTTAAAACACCTTCCCCCCACCCCTGCTTCCTTCCAAAACTCTACCTTCTCCATCCCAGCAGTGCAGGGAGACAGGGAATGGGGGTTGTGGTCAGTTGTTGTTTCTGCTGCTGCTCAGGGAGAGGAGTCCTTCCTTCCCTTGCTCCCATGGGGTCTCTCCCACGGGAGACAGTCCTTGATGGGCCTCTCCAGAGTGAGTCCATCCCACAGGCAAGAGTTCTCCCTAAACTGCTGTCCTGTGGGTCACTCATGAATGAACTGTACCAATGTGGGTGCCCCACAGGGGCCATGAGTCCCACCAGGGAAAAACCTGCTCCAGTGTGAGCTTCCCTCTCCACGGCCGCAGGTCTCTGACAGGACCCTGCTCCATCTTGGGCCTCCCACAGGGTCGCAGCCTCCTTCATGCATCCACCTGCTCCAGCATGGGCTCCTCCATGGGCTGCAGGTGGGTCTCTGCACCCTGATGGTCCTCCATTGGCTGCAGGGGCACAGCTGCCTCACCATGGTCTGTACCGTGGGGTTCAGGGGCCTCAGCTCCGGCGCCTGGAGCATCTCCTGCCCCTCCTTGTGCACTGACCTTGGTGTCTACCTTGTTGTTCACGTGTTCTGACTCCACTCTTCCCTGGCTGGAATTTTTCACTATGCAATAAATTTATGTTCTTAACTATGTTATCACAGAGGTGTTACTATTGCTCCTGACTGGCTTGGCCTTGGCCAGCAACAGGAAACCTGTCCTGGAGCTAGCTGGCATTGTCTCTGCCAGGCAGGGGAAGCTTCTGGCAGCTTCTAACAGAAGCCACTCTTATAGCCCCCTCCTCTACCAAAATCTAGCCACAGAAAACCACTACACCATGTTTCCATAGTCCATATTTTTAGATATTTCAAGTTTTGGCAGCTACCTATTTTGTTTCCCTAACACTCACTGCCCCATGATTTCTCTCTTCCACCACTCTCCACACACAGACCCTTTCTGAAGGCCCTGTCTCTTGAGATATTTATTGGAAATTTGCCTACAGATAATTTCATGCCCAGGAGAGGACCAGAGGATGTGCTGTGTGAGGGCAGCATTGTGCTTCCCCTTTCTCCTGTGCATTCTCTGTTCAGATGTCAGGGGGCCGTCCTGAGGACAGGGGTCCTGCAGCTTTCAGCTGGGTTTGAAAAACCTCTGGCTCAGCTCTCCAGGGTGTGAAATGGGATGGTGGGCAACTGCTGCATGCAGCCACTTTCTGAGAAAGAAATAACGCTGTGAGAATTGGGGAGAAGCCCCTGCTTTGTGTATCAGCGGATTGCTTGCGTCCTTTACATCTGGGAATTAGCAGCTTCTCCTGGTTTTGACATCCTCACATTTTTTCCCTGCCTTGTTCTGGGATATTTGTCATCCTGTGCTCATTCACCAGCCTGCCATGCAGACGAAGCACTTAGTTCTCAGCTTAAAGGTTTTCACGTCTAGAAAAAAAATTCAAGAGGAACAGCCTAAAAAGTACCTCCTGATAGAAGGGGCACCACGTGGTGATCAATGACAAAAGCTACCAGGAGGTCTCTGCCACTGAAACTGATGAAGCTCAGTATGAACAGGGACGAAGGAGACTTTCACCTCTGTGGAGGCATAAAATGACACGCCTCATCTGCATGCATTAAGAGGGAATGAATTCTAGCAGTGGGAGAATGGCTTGCTTTAGAGATGATAACCTTCTCTCTTGGTCCAAAACGACTGAATTAGGAACTGCCAGAAGCTGTTTAACTTGAGCATTGCCTTCTTTGAAGAAGTGCTGTAGCTTTACATTGGAGTTTTAAGACCTAAGAAAGTTGTAAGCTTTGGGGCAAACCTAAAATTTAAACTATAAAACTTCGAATGTCTAAACTTGGGTGAGGATGACTCCGTATCACCTGCTGCCTCAGCATGACAGAGTCACTGATCTCAGAGCAACAAGCTCCAAACTGCACAAACCATGAGTGGCAAGGAAGGTGCAGCTGGTCTGTGTGCTGCTGCACAGGCCCAGTTCTGCTGCTACCTATACCAGCATGCTCTTGGGATAATGCACTAAAATAAACACAGTCATCCACCAGTGTAACCAAGAACAGACCTTGACCCTGTGCTTAAAGGAAAAGGACCAAAGAGACCCCAAACCTTCTCATGGGGGCCTGAGCATCTCTGTTCTGCTCACTGTTCAGTAATTCTTCAGATTTTGCCTCTTAATGAAGTAATCTCAATATCTTATTAAAAATCACCAAACCATGTCCCAGAAATAATGATGCCAGCAGTTTGGGGTGAATTACCAATGCATTTTACCATTTCTTTAACAATTACAGCTCTATTTAGAATGGAGAGGATTATATTGCTATGCAGTTTTAGAATGATAAATTGCAGAATATTAAAAGATTCTTTGCTAAATGCAAACAATAGAGAACTTAATTATTGCTCAGAATGTCATTGTAGCATTATGGAACAATTTGAAATTCAACTTGCCTGGCTAGATTTATTTTAAGTCTGACATTTTCAGCCTTAGCTTTCACTCTCTGGATCTCTTTTTCACTCTGACAACACATCAATCTATTTTCTAACAGTTCTAAGATTAAAATAATCTCTCTTAATCTGAATTTTTTTTCTGCCTTATTTTATACTGGGAAAAAAGATTTATCTGCAAATCCAGTGTGGTGCAGGAAATATGTTTATAAAGGAGACAAATTCAGACCAGCAGCATCTGTAATCCATGCCTCCTTCTTGTCATAGGTAAAGCTACCTGAAAATTCTTAAAGAATGATCCTGCAATGAAAAATGCTGTTTAATTGAAAGTATGATTTATGGGAACAAATCAATTTTTCTAATACTTACAATGAGGAGAAGCCAAAACATTTCATTGCAACTTAATCAGTGCATTACAATGCTAGACTGCAATCTAGACTACTAGATTAAAATGTTCATTGTAGTAGCGGACACTGTTAAGTATGTAGCATTTTTCCTGCAATATAAAATTCAAAGTGATATATTTAGAACATATTTTTCCACTGATCCCAAATATATTTTGTCCTTTTTTTTTGTTTGGGAAATTTCAAAATGTTTTCCCTTGTTGTAATATGGAACAATTTGCGAGCCTTGGGCATTCTCCACTGAGAAGATGCTCCTATTCTTGTGTACCTTCATCTGAAGGAGAGGGACCCAGAGGCAGCACCGCCTCAGAGCACAGTAAGACACCCACCTGCTGCACCACATTGTGTGACTGGGCTGCTTTAGTGCCAGAAGCCCTCTTTCCCAGGCACAGGCTGCAGGCCACAGTCTGCTGCAGTCAGGATCTTCTGTGGCTATAGAGCTCCACCTGAGATTTGTGCCATCAAAGCTGAGCAGGGTTATCCCCACGACAACACCTCAGGAAGAAGTTATGTCCACATCAGACCAAATGACTCACAGTCTGTTCCTGGATGCAGCTCCACCCTCTGTGCCCTCTCCATGAGCATCTGAGTGGACGTTATCTCAGCCAGCCTTGGTCTGATATCAGCATACAAGAGTCATTCTGGATACGCTACTGGAGAGAAGCAGGCATCTCCAGAGATTGTCTCATCCAAAGACACAGGGCTGGATCCCTTCTCAGAAGTGCTGTTCCTCACCATTGGGTAGACAGGAGGAGCTGAAATTTCATCATACACAAAATCCCCGGGATTTGGGTGGCTGCATTAAGGGGCATCTGGTTTTTGCACAACCCACTATTGCAAGGTGATGTCACCCCCAAAAGCACTTGTGAAAAACGAGAAAGTTTCAAAGGTGTGAGTTACAGCGTGATCACATAGGTTCTGTGCACTGTAACCAATGAGGCAACCTCTGAAACAGGGATGGGCAACATGCCACGGCAGAGATTTACACAGGACCTTCCTAAACTGACTCTTTCACTGAAGGACTCATCATATGGCACTGTGCCCTCAAGGGAAAAGTTCTGATACAGAAAATCCTTTAAGCAACTTTAAGCATGTGATTCAGATATGTAATACTTGTCCTCTGTGTCAAGCAGAGCTGGTACCAGTCAGCAGTGCTGGCAGTGACCAGGCAGAGAAATGACACTGGAATGTGCCCTGTGGGAGACCACCATGGATGGAAGTGCAGTCAAGTCTCCTCTGCCTGATCTACCAAGAAAGCGCTTCACTTCTCTCTGCTGCCTGTGATCTTTCAGGAACTCCTACAACCTCCGATTAGGCTTCAGGAAAAATTAGGAAGACAAAAGCAATGGTTGTGATTGATCAAATATCTTGTTCTGAGGAGATGACATAGGAACATAATGTTCACAGTCCCTAAAAATCTGTAACCAGAAACTCTCCAAAGTGGCTTGAGGAGATTTCAATACCACTTTAATAAAGGGAATCACCTGCTGAGATTTGTCACCTCTTGGAGAGGAACACAAAGTACAAAGCATATATATAAAAATAATGACATAAATGGTCTTCAAGGCTCCATAACAGGAACAAAAAATCATTGTCAGGTTTGTCAAGTTGTTAGAAGTTGTATCCTAAATTCTGTATTTCGATTCATTAGATTTCATTCTTCTTCCCCTGTAATAAATATCCAAATCAGTTCTCCATTGTCCCATGACTGCAGCAAGCACAGCCCTGGAGAGGCAGTGAACCCGAGGAATATGGGAGTTGATGTGTTGGTGGTCAGTCTTGCAGATGGAGCGGGTCACATGTACAAGGCTGCTTTGGGGTAAAACCATCCCCATGTCCCCATGGTAAAGGAGAATGGGATGCCCTACATCAGCACTATTGCCAATCCCACACTGGGGGCTACTACCCCACAGCACAGCAGAGGCAGTTCAACTGCCTCCACATGCAGTGCTGAGAGGGATTTGTGTGACCCAGCTCTCCTCTGGCCCGGGGTGCTCTCGTCTCCTGTGTTTTATTGCTTGTGAGAGTTACCAGATGTACCTGAAGACATGACCCGCGTTTCCTCCTATGGCTGTTGAACTACTTCTGGATTTAACTGTTTCCAGTAAAGATGCTACAGCAGGAATTCTTGAGGAGTTTGACTTCCTACAAAAAGCCAGGGTTTATTAATCACTTCCTCCTTACCATTGTTGTCATGTTTCTATGTGACAATGGCAAGAAAATTTATAGCTGTTCTTCTCTAACAATGAAGACAGTATCTTTATAATAAAAGCAAATGGGAATTATCTCCTAGCCATCCACTCCTCTGCTGCACCAGACTCAGTGTCTCGCTTTGATTTTTGCAGCCCCATAGCTCTGGTTTTCTTCCATAGATGTACTGAGATAGGATTTCTCTTAACCTCCTGTCCCCATCCTCCTACTCTTCTTCCTAGTTAAAGACATGGCTGTGCTGGTTTTCGCTGAGGTAGAATTGTCTTCACCATGGCTAGTATGGAGCTGTGTTTTGGATTTGTGCTGAACACAGGGTTGATAATATAGAGACGTTTATGTTATTGCTGAGCAGGGCTTGCACAGAGCCAAGGACTTTTCTGCTTTTTGTACTGCCACAGTGGCAGGGAAGTTGAGGATGTGTGGGAGGTTAGGAGAAGGCACAGCCAGGACAGATGACCCAACCTGACCAAAGGGATATTCCATACCATATGACATCATGCTTAGTATATAAAGGGGAGGAAGAAGGAGGAGAAAGGGGAGAGAATGTTTGGAGTGATGGTATCCATCTTCCAAAGTCCATTATGTGTGATGGGTCCCTGCTCTCCTGCACATGGCTGAACACCTGCCTGCCCTTGGGAAGTGGTGAATTAATATTTTGTTTTTTCTTTGCTTGTGTGCACATCTTTTGCTTTCTCCATTAAACTGGCTTTATCTCAACCTATGAGTTTTCTTGCTTTTACCCTTCTGAATTTTCTTCCCAATCCTGCTGGTGGGGGAGTAAATGAGTGGCTGTGTGGGGCTTGGTTGCTGGGTGGGGTTAGACCATGACATGGCTCATTTCTTTTGCATGCATCCTGTGAGTCACCAGTGATCAATGATCAAATGCCCTTCGAAGTGGGGAGCAATCGGAGTTAGCTGGCTTGAGGCTCTGGCAGCCCTTTCACTTCTGACACCAGTAAATTACATTATGTGTTAAAGCAACATTTTCTTTTTTTCCTAGGCTCCAGGCTGAGTTTGAGGAGAACATGGCTCAGCTTTGATTTTACTCTGCTGTTCAATAAACTATTTTCTTTAAACAAGTTAAAAGAGAATGTTTTTCCCAAGATCTCATTAAATATTTATTTACTGTTTAGAATTCTTCAGTAAGTAGCAAAGGTCTCAATTTGGGAAAACACAAAAGTTTCTGTAAAACCAATCTGAGCCTGCTAGCTGAATATTAAAATGCAGTATGGATGAATTAGTAACTAATTCATGCATAATAAAACCCATACGCGTCTAAAAGTAATTAGCCTATTGTTTTGATTCAGGGAATGTTTGCTTAATAGCCTCAATAGCTGCTCACTTTCCCAACGAGATCAAAACTAACATAAGTGGAAGTGACATTCAGATAAAATGAATAATTTCCATAATAAGAAATTCAGATTTTTTTGATGTTTCTGTAGATGGCCTGAAATCACTGAATTTTAGCTTTCCTGTGCCTGGAAAAGCTGCAGTTATTTGATTAGGGCTAAATAAGCTCCTTAGCTCTCTTAAAACAGAAAGATGGTATTAAAAACACTTGGTAGTGGCTAAGAAGTAAACACTGAAGATATCTGCTTATTATAGTAAGGCAAAACTTTGCTCAAGTGTTCAAGAGGATGAAATTTCTGAGGGAGAGATGAGGGATGAAGTATCAGCCCACTGAGCACACCTCCTCTGCCCTTGTGTGCCAACCAGAGCCTGTACCAAGCCCCAGATTTCCCTGTGTACACACACATCCATTGGACTTGATGAGAAGTGGGGTCTTCCAGGTATGAGCAGGGGCCCATTTGTAATATGGGTGTGGGACCTTGTCTAACACTATTTCTGTGATAATGTCAGGTGTCAGATGGACAAGCTGTATGCTGGCCCCAGAACTGTGTGGTGACCAGCATCAGGAATTTCTAGGGAATCAAAGCTTTCATTTCCCCAAACTACTTATTGAACATAATTGCCAGGATTCCCTTCTTAGCACTTCTGCAATGAAAGCCGAGATCTCTGTACCTCCGTTTCTCAAAAAACACACAGATAGTACCTCTATTTCTGCTCAGCAGCTGTCACCATGTTAGTGGCTACAGAGTTTCCTCATGTCCCTCATGCAGGGTAGGTCATGGACCCTATGGTTTAGTTCTTCCTTAAGCTGTGGCACGTGTCATGTTACTTCCCAGCAGACAGTAGGGTCAGTCTCATGTAATCATGGAATCATAGAATCATAGAATGGCTTGGGTTGGAAAGAACCTTGTAAGATCATCTAGTTCCAATCCCTCTGCCATGGGCAGGGGCATCTTTCACTAAACCAGGTTGCTCAGAGCCCCATCCAACTTGGCCTTGAACACTTCTGGGGATGGGTGTGAGATCCTGGATCTGAATCTCACTGAATTATTGAAATGGGCCGGAACCAACTCACTGAGTGTGTGTGCATGTGGGGAAGGGCTGTGCCAGGACCTGCAGGTCCAGGGTAAGGCCTGCACATGAGGCCCGTGCTGAGGGCACAGGGCAGAGCTGAAGGCAAGGCCTGCAGCCCACGCAGAGCACACGGCAGAGCTGCAGGCCCTGCAGCCGGGCTGTCAGTCAAGGCAGACCTGCCTGGTAGCCCACCCACACCACATCCCTGGAGCCTGCGACTGGCTACAGCACAACTCACTCTGGCCTGGAAGGCACTGACGGGATATCCTGCCTGGGAGGGAAAACTGAACTCTATAAATACACGAAACTCCATGTGGTCTCCCTCTCCTGTCTCTCTTCTCCCTCTCCAGCTGGCACCATTTGAATCACTGAATCTTGTCAGTAACTATTCTCCTTTCTCTCTCCTTCTCTCTTTCTTCTCTCTTTCTTTATTCCTTTTAATCTGTTTTCTTTTACTCTTTTCCTTCTCCTGTGGGTAACTTAAAACCAATGAACTGTGTTTTACTAAAGACGGTATACGGATTGTTTTTAGTGGGTGTTTCCTGTGGAATGGGTCTTTGTGCTGAATGTTTCAGTGAAATGCTTTTTTCTTGGTTGTGTTTTACTCCTGTAAAAACCTTTTGCCAAAATATCTTATTTTTCTCACTAAATTAAAAAGAATTTCTCTTAGAGAAAAGTGTGTGACTCTTTCTCCAGATGCTAATTAGAGGTTATAACAAACCAAAAGGCTTTTAAAAATTCTTAAATAAAAATGTAACTGCTCTGAGCAGTTTATAGCTTAATCTGGAGCATAACAATCCGGGGCATCCACAATTTCTTTGGGTAACCTGCTCCAGTGCCTCACAACAAAGAATTTTTTTCTAATATCTAATCTAAACCTACCCTCTTTCAATTTGAAGCCATTCTGCCTTACCGTATCAATACATACCCTTGTAAATAGTCTCTCTCCATCCTTCTTATAGGCTTCCTTCAGGAACTGGAAGGTCCCAATTAAGTCACCCCAAAGCCTTTTCATTTCCAGTCTGAACAAACCCAGTTGTCTCAGTCTTTCCTTGTAGCGGAAATGCTCCATCCCCCTAATCAACTTGGTGATCCTCCTTTGGACTTACTCCAACAGGTCAGTGTCATGCCTTGTAATGTGACATAACAGGGTATAACACAGTCATCCACAGTGGTTTTGCTGTTGCTTTGAGAGGAGTCAGTCTAGATCCAATAATGAAATAGGTTCAAGAGCATTTACTGTTGAATCGCATGGCCCAGGGAATACTCTATAAAAGCCAGAATGGGTCTGCATAGCATATGGGAACTTCAGCCAATTTCCCTTTCAGTAATTAGTAATATGTGCCAGGGGATCTCCTAAGCTAATAACTACCTTAGTTGCAGACCAGTCTACTCTAGACTTGTATCTAGAAAACATACCATCACAGTTCAGTTTTACAAAGTTTCTCATTCAATCATAAGCAAAGGTAAAAGAGCTGAAACTCTAAATTTATGTTTCTTTTAAAAATTCTCAACAGTAGCTTTTTATTTTTATGTCAGTACTAGAAATATAAGTCACTCAGGTGCAGAGTAGTCAATGATAATAATTTACTTAGAAGTAGACAGAGGTGGGATGGGATTCAGATCAAGACTGAGATAACTACATTTTTGTGCCTGCATATCAGTAGCTACAGGAGTCTGAAGTGCCTAAGCAGCCTTTCTAGTCAAAATAGTCCTAGAGTCGGTTCAATTTTCTAAACCTGTGGGAATTTGAAACTCCATAGGACAACTAGGAGTTTTGCACAGTAATGGCTGTGGACTTACAATACAGGATAAAAATTTCACGTATTTCTGTAGATATAGGTGTCTGACCAGTTTGACTCCTGCAGATCCATAATTCGCAGTGGACACTGGGAATAAGTCCCATTTGTCATAAAAAACCTTCCATCGCAGTTGTCATGGTTCCAGGAGGTCTGAATAATCTTTTGGAAGCAGAAGTCGTCCTTTGACCACAGGGTCAAAAAATGGTTCTCAATGAGCTACCTCTATATTACTGTGAGGGTGACCCAGTGCTGGCACAGGTTGCACAAGGAAGTTGTGGAGTCTCCATCCTTGGAGATAATCAGAAGCAATGAGCATTGTCTCAGCAATTGTACCTTGTGTGGTCCCGCTTGAGCAGAGGGGTTGGACCAGATGACCTCCAGACATCCCTTCCAGCTTGATTCTGTGATTCTGTGATATTGTGCTCATCTTGAACTGGTCCTGCGGATAACAAGAAGACTTGTTTTTCTAAGACTGTGCTCTGGAATTAAATCTAGTCAATATTATGTATAATTACATCTAATTACATCTATTAACTGAAATTCTTTAAGCCTGAGTACAAAAGCCATTTTGTTATGCTGTTTATTTACAGAGCTACAGCATGGGTGCTGGAAAAGTAGTGGGGTGTGAAGGAAAAAGAACAGAAAGAATAAATGAGAGTTATCTGGCAAGACAGTGAATTTTGGCATCTTTTTTTAGGGGTGTGAACAGTTGCTGCATGCTGGAGAAGATAGGACAAGAACTGTACAAATATGAACTTGCCACAAAACCTCCACTTCATCTCTACCCTGCAGGCCAAGTATCTGCTTGGTAAATCCTCAGCCTATAAAAATAATATAGCTAGATAATCTGATAGAATGCTTAAAAGTACTTGGTCTCATAGCTATTCTTATGGAAAACCAAAGATGTTCTTTGACATCAAGATAGCTGTGTTAACACATAGTCTTTGCAGATACAAGGCACTGTGGGTTTTTTTAATCTCACTGTAACTAGTGAGATAAAGATATAAAGCTTGCCTTGAGTAGCTGTGTCAGAGACCTATGCCTTATCTCTGCAAGATTTTTGTGCTGTGACAGGTCCTTTGAAATGCCTCTCAGTCACAAATCCCTTTTTTCTCTTGCAGTGAAGACACAGAAAATTTACTTGTCATTCAAACAAGATATCACAGTTCCCTTCTTTTCACTTTTCCCTTATATTGTTGCATTCTCTCTCTTTTCTGTGCCTAAGATATTTATTTTTTCCAAAACTTTTGGAACAGACTACTTAACAGTGACAACAGTGACACTGTACCAAATTGTGCCAAAAACGTTGCCAAAATGTCAATGGCCTGTTAGAAATATGACATTTGCTATATTCTTTGCTCCTGAGTGAAGACGTTCTTTCTACCAGAGTCGAAATATAAATGCATGTTTTCCCATTGGTAAATTCATTTTAACCAACCTTTTAATGTTGCAGGGGCTTCTGTGGAAGAAGGGAAAGCTTTGGGAGGGCAGACTCAACAGAGCCCCCCAAAAAATCAAAGTCATCCCATCCAGGTATGGAGCCTAATTCTGGGATCAGTCACATGTGTGTAATTCCTTCAACTTCAGTGGAATTAGTCCTTCATTAAGTAAAGGAGAAAGGATCAGAGTTAAATTCACAAATATTAATTTAGTCATGGCAGATTTACATGTGAAAAGCCACTTGTACAATAGAGCAGAATGATGATCCTACACTCTTTGAAGTGGTCCTAACACTAAGTATTTCTTATCTCCCAGGGGCTCTCTTCACTGCTCTGTGATTTGCATAATACCAAGGTGATAGCTTGCCTTTGATTTGCCTTTGGTTTGGAGGATATACTTAGTTTCCAAAATCAAAAGTAAGTTAGAAAGAAATTACATTTTGTCTAAAAGTCAGAGAGAGTTTTTCTTCTCTCAGGTTGACATAACCTGCTGGATTTAAAAATTGATAGAGTTGAAAAATGCTGAACACTTTCATTACAGCTGCAGATCAGCATTAAAAACAAGAGGTTATTTTTAGCAGCAAGGCACCCTTTATTCATATGTCGCTTCACCGAAATATTAAATGGTAATTCACAATTCATGCATTTTGACGTCTTGCTACTTTTATCTTCACTTTCTTGTAAAAGAAAATGTCTTAAAATTTCAACATTAACACTGTGCTGGGTGTCCTTGGAAGTCACTCGTGTTCTTAAATGGATTGTTCAGTTTGGCCAAATGGCAAGCGGCAGTATATTATTGGCTCATTTTCTATTCCTCACACCCCCCAAATGTAAGTTGACTGGAGCAAGGCTTTTGAATATAAAAAGTTCAGAATTTTGCGTGTAAAACAGACTATTTAAGAAGGAATCCAGCTTGTGCTGAACATCTCAAAGGCAGGGGTGTTGGGCAGTAGCATAAAGCTTTAGAAACCATGTGCGTAGCCATCGCTTGTGCTGCTCTGTTTTAAAACTCATCTCATGATATTTCCACATCAGAAGAAGAGCTGTTTGTTAACAAAGTGTGGCTATTATGTTAAATTCTGACCTTGGATAGATATGTGTGAAACACTGCCAAGCTGCAGTTTTCACACAGATTTAAAGGGTTCCGTTCTATCTGAACGCATCGCTGCACTCTTCAGCCAAATTGCTGCTCTGTGAAATTTTTCAGAAAAGGAGGAATACAACATAGAATTGGTTTTCTGTTTTTTCACAAAGTAGACGTTGACCGTATGTAAAAATCCACTTTCTCAGAAAGGCTTTAACACTGGTATAAACCCTACCCTGTGTCAGAAAACACTGCTGGGCAATTAATCAAGATTTTTGTTGGTTTTGTTAATTCCAGGTATATAAAACAGTTAATGAAGCTGAAAGCTGTTATTAAACCTCTTCATAATTTAGAAATAAAGTATTTCAGAAGGAGGTTTAAATGAGATAATTAGACATTTGGAAACCTTCTCTGGGGCTAGATCTTACCAGTAGGTGTCAAGAAGTTCTTTGCACAGAGTTTGTGTCGTAAACAAGCCTGCAAACAGGGGTGAGGTGCTGGCTGTAAGTTTTGACTGCCTAGATTTAGTCTGCAGATTAGTCTGGAGCCCAACCAATGCCCCAGGTGAGGAAAGAAAGGGAGAGTTGTTTTCTCTGGGTGAAGCTTTGCAGGAGGACTTTGTGGAGGAGTTACCACAGTGTGGTGGTGTGTGCTGGAGAGTGTTAGACTATGAACTCCCTTATCTGATCCAAGAGCTATGGCCATCAAAAAGTTTAGCAGAAAGGAGATGAAAATAGCCGTACTAAGGTGTCATCTTCAAAGGCAGCAGGCTTTGCTGTCCAGGGCTTTCTATCCGGTCAGCTGTCCTGCCACAGCTAAATCCAGCACCTAACAGAAACATTTGAATTGCCACTTTTAGCACACATTCTACTGTCTGCATATTTGCTGTGGGGAACACAGGAAGATATGACTGTTTAACAAAGAGCTGGTATTACTGACAAGCAAATGCCATGAATATTCTATTTACATAGCAATGATTTACAAGCATCAAAAATCATACCTGCAGCTCCAAAAGCCAGAGATTTTATTTTAAAAAGCATAAGATTGTTTTTAGATAGTTTGTTACTATTTTTTTAAATCCATCTTTACTTTACCTACACTTTATTTGTATTTTAAAGGTTTTTTTTCCCAAACTTTTCTTTAGAAGTTCAAGCTGACCCTCTTCTGCAGTCTCTGTATTTCATCATCTGGGTCCTTCTGAGAGACACTAAATTACAGGTACATGACAGACTCATAAGAGTTGTCACAGGGTGATGGTTTGGGTTTTTTTCTGAACTGATCAAACAATTTATCTGGAAAGAAAACATCATGTTTCTTTTCTCAAGATTTAGCTTCGCAGGTGAAGCTGATTTCCTAAGAAAAATAGCATGAGATAACCAGAAAATGCACCTTAAATCTTCCTGTCTTGTAATTTGAAAAAAGAATCCTCCATGTCCCAGGACTGCTGAAAAGAGGACTCCTTTATATATCTTCTCCCTTGGCACCCAGACTTTGAGCTGACCTTGAGCCATCTCCTTCCCCATGTAACCCTGACTGCCTGTGGCTTGGATGTGCCCATTTTGGCTTATTGGCATTTCTGTGGTGGTGGCCAAACAATCCGAGTCACAGAAGGTTTTGGAGGGAAAGCACAGACCTACACAGATGGCATCTGCAGAGATCATTATTATTTTTCACAAATGACAGCAAAGAAAGAAACTCAACTCTGCATCAGGAGTAGCATTTCATTTTGAATTCAATGGTTCTGTCACTCATGGAGCTACTTTTAGCTTTAGGGCTCAGTGCTGTGCCAATAAAACTAATGGGAATTTTGTCATTGCCAGAAGAGAAAGCAGTGTTTGGCCTTTCAGAGCAACACACTTAATTCTAGTGTGCAGCCTGGCTTCAATTTTTAATGAGAAAATGGGAATAAACAGAACAAAAAGTGTTGCACAAGTCCCACATCTTCAATAAATATGGAATAACGGTAGAGCTAAAATTAATACCATTTTTTACAATCTGGATAGAGAGGCGAGACAGTCTGAGGAGCATTTGCTACATCATGCACTACAGCCAAAATAATTTCTTCTTCATGTTGGCTTGGTCTTAGTGGATGCCTGAGTTCTCAACTGATGAACCTCTGTTACTCCAAGAGCAAGACAGATATTGGGAAGCAGTGCTGGACTGATGTTGGTCTGCTAGAAATGCCGTCACCTGCATAATTGGTTCAATTCACCTTTGAAGATGCCTTGTTCACCCTGAGACCTCATCCACCTCTTCTGCCTGGCAGACCAGATGCATCAGGCTCTCTGTGGAAAACAGGCTCATCTGCCAAATTTCCACTGGATAGCACCTAAGAAAGAGAATGAACTGTTACCCCAGCTGCACCCAGAATCACATCTCAGTGCTGTATTTGAAGGTCTACTACAGCTATAACATAGACTCCAGATACAGCAAACACTGAAGAAAGAGAAGCAGATTCAACTTAGACTGTAGGAAGCACTTTTGGCCACTTAAAGACACAGACCTTTCTTTGTTAAGAAATTAACAAAGAACCTCTAAGTTAGTCTTGATTTTGGAGAAGAAAATGTTAACCTGACCCAGGGAAAAACTCTAGATGACGCTATATATGACTATATCCCTGTATCAGGTGTTCATCTGGCACTGCACACAGAAAACAAAACATCCTGCTACTTTTGTTAGAACTGCTTTACATCTGGTACCTTTAGGGTTTCCTAATACTTTGAGAAAATACTCAGCACTGGATTGATGCAAGTGAGGAATAGCAGGCTAGGTTTCCCGAGAACAGCTTCCTGGCCCTGTAGTGCACCCCCTAAAGGTAGTGGTTGAGTCTTGTTCCTGCTTGGCAGCAGTCTCAGTCCTTGACCTAATTATGAAAATGATTTCTAGAGTGTTTACTCTATATCACAAAAAAGCAATGATCATTTTTCCATCTCTTCTGGTTGCAGTCTTGGCTGCTGCTTCTGCTGGCAATCAGAGGTAGTGCCTATGTCCTGTAGAATTGCCCAGAAAAGAGGAATGAGGGCTGCCTGTGGCTGGGTCTTTAGTTCTGTATGCAGAAATGAAAAGGGAAATTGCTAAAGCTTGGGGTACTTCAGATGTAATTCACAGCAGCAGCAAAATGCTCAGCAGAGTATTGCCCATTTGTTGCCTTTTAAGGTCCTTGTCCCATCATCTCTGAAGGTATAATTCAGTCATGCAGAGACCTTCTGTCTAACCCTTCCGGAGGCAAAGGTGGAAAATCAGGGACTTTCAGGGGAAGATTCAGCTGAACTCGTTAGCTTCCCTTGGGAGTGCTGCCTGAGGGGTTGTTACACTGATGCTACTGTTGATGCCTTCACACCATGGGCATGGAGAGACGCCAAGCGCGCAGCTCTGAATCTGTAGGACCAGGCAGGAATTTGTCTTGGACCTGGCCTGCATATCTGCTGACTCCCTTCTTCACTGTCAGCTTGGCAGCAGTTTATTTGACTCTCCTTCTGAGCTCCTTCATCAGGGAACCCCTCGGGTCCTGTTTCCTCCACCACCCTAGAGCCAGGTACCTGTGTTAAGACATCAAAATTAGTCATCCTAAAGCAGTCAGCCTGGCTCATGGCTTTAGTGACAAGAGGGAATTTGATTCTGATTTTTGCCTGGTGGTTTGTTTTTAATCGTGTTAAGCATCTGTTGGTTTCCTCATTATGGTAACTGTAGTAGTTAAAGCCACAGCTTGATCCCATTGAAAAACATCAGTGGTGACAGCTTGTGGGGATTGATTTGGGACCAGAAAGGCCATTCACAGCATCCAAGCGTGGGGGCAATGGGAAGATGTCTCTTGCAGAGACCAACAGAAATTCTCCTGCTGAGGGCCTCCCCATCACCTCCAGCTGCTGAGGGAGATGGAGGCCAGAGAAAACGGCAGTGTCAGTGGAGGGAGACAAAATCTGAGTGCTGCATGATAGAAGGATAATAGT